TAATAATTAAATTAATTTTTCTGCGACGTAAAAAAACGTCTCAAATAAATTTTTACATAAATAAAAAATGTAAAAAATAATTTAATAAATACATTTTGGACGTATAAAAATCGTCACGAAAAAGGTTGATCCTGCAATTTTTCGTGACGATTTTTATTTCATCGCAAAAAAATTCATTTTTTTTAATTTTACAAAAAAAATGATATTCCAATAAAATTTTTCACCTGTACACTAATAATACATTTGTTCAATAAAAAACTAACACAATTAATACAATTTATAATTTAAAAAAAAATAAAATTTATTTCCAAAAAGAATGAATTATAAAAATTAAAGAACAAGAAGTTCTAAAAATAGAAAAAATGACTTTAATCCTTCAAGATGATTTAAATCATCTCTAATTACATTTAATATCTCTTAAACTTGAACAGCTCCAGCAATCCAGCTTCATGCCTTGAAATACCATCTCCAAGCTCAACACTATCCAGGATTTGCATAATCAAACTGACCACCACACACAACCTTCCTCCTCCTAACAATAGGGATCCTGAACTGATCCTGATGCAAAACCAACCTTTCATCCCGTGACAAAATACCACTTTCTAAAAAAATCAGTTAAAACAGAATAAGAGTAGTGAAAGAGAGAGGCATCATTTACAATGAAAACAAGTGTTGATAAAGTAGTGTGGAGAAACTAAGAGAAAATCAGTGCAGTAACCTTTTGAGAGAAGGAAAAATACAAGAGGGAGAAAAGGAAAGGGGGACAATCAGCATACCTATATGAATTACAGTATTGAACTAACAGAATTATACAGCAAGTGGATGAAGCAACCCAAAAGCAATCTCTGAATCGATTCAGTAGCTGACTAATTTTATTAATGGATGGAAGATAATGCAGGTGCACTATGCGGTTCTTCATTTAAGTCACCCCTGCCTTCATTATATGTTTTTTTTTTTTTAATTTCTTCAAAAAATTAGCATCTTGTTTTCTAGACATGCATATAGAACATACGGCTACTTATTCTAAGAAAAGAAATGGAAACCTTAAACCAATCAGTGCAAGGACTAAAACAATAATGGAACGAATAAAACATGTGACTGATGCATGGTTTTCAATGCCCATTATCTGAACACCAACCAAATATGATGCATGTCTCACCTACTTATGACTTCATTTGCTTCAGTACATGATAGCATAGAAGCACCAAGTCTTTCAGTAAGGTTCTCCATAGCATGTTTTTGTTCAGTGGATATTCTATTAACCTCCGCTAGTTCCTTCTGTTTGGCATCTAACAACTGGCGCAACTCTTCTTGTTAATCAAGGTAAGATTTTGAAATTGATGCTTTCAAGTCTTTGATCTCCTGCATAAGAGGTATGAATGTCAATTAAGGCAATGTCAAGGAACAAAACTTTGTTGGGTAAATTGTAAAAAGGACAAGCAAAAACCAACATAAGAATCACAATATTCTTCCCAATTTTTAACCACCACTGTTGACTGGTGAGAACTTGTTACACAAGACCTAAAAGTGTGAAGTGCCTACATCAGGTGTAACATAACATAGATATTGGTACCAGGTGCATCTTAGACACTTGTTAGCAAAATGTCCGATGATTACAAGACACAAAACAAAAAATCAAAGCTACTGTAACCTTCATTAAAGTAGAAAATGCGGCACACTAGAAACAATTTAGATCAAGGACTTCCCAACAAGAAATCAATTGAGATGATTACAAGACACAAAACAAATTTAGCTAAGAAAATACCAACTCACAGACACACTAACACTAACTCAATTTGATCATTTAATAATGCTTTTCAGCCCACACATTGTGGATTGCAGACTCACTAAAACCAATTCAGTGCACACAAACATGCATAAATGAGAGGAAAGAAAGAGGGTCACAAACACAAGCAGCCCATACAAGTTCATTATGCTCAACAGCTGCGCAAGCAATCAATGGTCATGACTTATTTTCCAATTGCTTCCTCAGTTCCTGCACATGCATGTGCTTAAGATGTATGAGTTGTATGAAGAAAGAAATGATTGGATGTTCTTAACTGACTGTATAATTAAGATCTCTGTCATCAATTACAATAGCTCAGTAATCAAAACAACGATACCGTGTTTGATCGTTGAAGACAGTTACCTAGTTTACATCCATATATAAAGATGACTACTAACTAATAAATCCAGGTAACTGTCTCACTTGCCTTTTAAATTGTATAAGAACCCACCGGAAGCAGAAGAAATAATTCAAGCAGTCATTCTGCTTAAAATAATTATGCAAAGGAGTGTCTAACAACTCCACCAGCTGCCACAACAACAGTGAAAAGTAAGTTAAAACTTGAAGGAGAAACCTGCCTCACAAAGTAATTGAGAGCCAAGACAACTAAGATGCCAACTTACATTCACAGTTCAAGAGAGAAAGGGGACACAAATGAAACCTTTTCAAGGTTTGCAATCAAACCCATTTCAGTTTGCAATCAAACCATCCTGTTTTTAATCTTCAAGCACAACAAGCTTAATATCTGTTTCAGTTCACTACCATGATCCGGATGGTATACTGGGATAGGTAGTTCAATATATCCAAAATGACCTGAAATGATAAACAGAGAAGAACTTCAGCTGTATTTTTGTGATTGCATAAAAAAATTAAGATAATTAGCTCAAAGTTTTCTGATAGTGAAAACTTGCTCACTATCCACCAAGCAGTAGCCAAGAACTACAAATGTACAAGTAGTGATAACATCAGATCTCTAGGTTTTGCTTGCACTTCAATACAGTTGGATGAAGACAACAAATCAAACCACAAAAAAACTCATTGTGGTGCTAAAATAAAAGATGAATGATTCAAATCTTGAAAACCTTGCACAAACCCCCCACGAAAAATTGATGAAGAGAGAGTAAATTATTACTCTAGCAAAAAGGAAGTTGAACACATGGGTGTAACATTTGACAAAAACTTAAGTGATGCCAAACACAACCATAGTTTGCACATACTAAACATATAGATCAAGCTAAGCACCAAAAAGGGAATGGAACGATGAAAAGGTGTAGCTTTTGGCTCCATTTTTACTCATTGTATGTGTGGCTTTTAGCGATTAATTGGCCGATTGGGTAACTGCCAAAATCTACCTGACAACGCAAGTAGCGGTAAAGATTCGAATGGAATTTCCTTTATTTATATTATACATAGGAACCAAATTTAATTGCAGTGCATTTGGATGTATTTTTTTACTCCTGCATTTGAATAACTTTATGATTGTATACCAATTGAGGCTTGGATTATCCTAGGGTATGTCAATGTAAGTTAGTTAAATTATTTACTAAGAATATAACAATGAAGAAAATGCTTGATGAGTTGATGAAAATATTTTAGTATATATTATGTACATAAATTGGCAGGATATTTAGAGTTGGATATCGAAATGTTAAATTAATTAGTCAATGAATGGAATTTCGAGAAAGAGTGATTGAGAAGAAAAAAGGTACAAATACTTAAATTGATAGAAAAAAATATTATTGGATGCAATATCATATCATTGTTATTACTCATACTCATGTCAATACGGTAAAGTGCAAGTGAAATCTATAAAATTTTCTGAAGTTATTAGCTTCATGCCAATGTCTCATTTCGTCTAAAGTTGTTACGCCATTGGAGAGTGTGAAAGTTTTAATGACAATTAACGTTGTAATGAGTTTCTGGTTGATGAAGTAGTCATAAATATCACCTTGCATTTTGAATAGCACTTTAGAAAGGAAGATTTTTCAGATTCAAAAGAAAGCCAAAACAAAATTAGGCTATCTATGTGTGAATTTTTCATATTGCATGTAATTTAAATGCATTCTACTACCTATGGTATGCAAGTTGCATGTTTTGTGGGGAAACTAATAAAGCTCTTTTCTTGGAGGAATGAGATTGGAAAATGTTGCAGGATCCAGATTGCTCACCATACTGTGATGAAAATGATGCAGACACTGGTGGCAGGAGGGATTTAGCCAAAAGAGCAGGCTTGAAAAACTACTTAATGGAGTCGAATCTTCACTTAATGAGTCATTGTTTTTCTTGGAAATAACCTGGAATGCCCTTACAATTATGTGTAGTTATTTGTTTTTGAACCTTTTGCTGATTCTCTTTAATATTTAGATTAACCAGCTATTCTCCTGATGTAATGTTTTGGGGTACTTGAATGGTTTGGAGTCTTTAATGGTTTGGATTCTTCACATAAAGGAATGTGTTTTAGTGGGCCATAAAGGTTATAAAGATAAGGATACACTGTTGGAGATTCAAAGGAAGGATACCAACCCAAATAGGGTGATGACTGCCAATTGTAAGATACTGCTAGGGGAGACTAATAGCTCTGTAAGGCATATCCTTCCGAAAGTAAATCAATGTGCGAATGCACTTGCTAATTTGGGGGTTTCAGCAAGAGGAGTGGTTTGTACCTTTAAGGGGACCTCCGCTTGAGATCTTGATGATGTTTGAGGCTGATATAGCCTGCACTGTGTTTGTTAGGGAGCCTTAGAGGGTCATTTTTATTTTCTATTGTACCCAAAAAAAAAAAAAAAACCCTAATCAAAAACTTAAGGCCAACAAGGTACCCTACTTGAAAATCTAGGTCAAAAAGAAACACTAACTAAAAACCTATGGCCAAACAATGCATAGTCTATAACCCAAGAACTGAAATTTTTTTCGTATCTATTGGGTCTTTGATTCACAATGCTTCTTCAATGTCTTCGATGCATATTTCTTCTGTCTTCAATGCACATACCTTCCTCTATTACTTTGAAACATTCAAACCCACATACACGCATACAACGATATATATACATAGCACACACACACACACACACACAGAGTATGCACCTGAAGCAGCTCTAAAGTTTTGTGGCTTGTGCGGCTCTCAGAGAAAGAACTTTGTTCGATTGATTTGAAGCAGCAAATCTGAAGCATCTTTGTTTGATTTCAAAAGAGGATGATGGTCCTCGATTTCAAAAGAGGATGAAGGCTTTGTTCGATGAAGGCAAATCTGAAGCAGCTTTGTTCTATGGTCTGAGAGAAAGAGGATGAAGGCTTCGAGTTTGATCGGGGCTTGTGGCTTCACTGTCGAGTTTGATCGGGGCTTGGTTTTCTGGCTTGTGGCTTCAATGTCTGTGAAGGCTTCGAGTTCAATCGATGGAGAGGCTAGAGAGGCAGAGAGAGGCGAGAGTCTGGGAGCCAGCGAGGCTTCGGCTGAAGAAGAAGTGTTCTTACTTTGGGGGTCTTGCTGGCTGACGAAGAGGAGGTGGAAAGTGAGTGAGAGGGAGAGTGTGGAAAGGGGAATGTGAAGAAGAAGAAGGGGAATGCGACGGTTTTTAAATAGTCAAAACGACGTCGTTTTTGGCTATAAATGAATTTGTTTTGGGCCCAGAAACAGTGTATTTGTTTTAAACAAAATTTGTGCTGCGACAAAATATAAAACGTCGCAATTGTAATTTTAATTCTAATTTAAAATTACAAAAACTAAATTCTGCGACAAATATAAAAATATCACGATATAATAATTTTATTTAATACAAAAAAAATTATTTTTTTTTCAACGAATTAAAATTATCCACACTCATTTTCTTTTTGTCGTAACACTTTTAATTAATATACAAATTTTCTAGCAGAAAAAGCAATAAATGTTGAATATAACATCTATATAATAAAATAGCTTACAATTCAAATTTCAAAAGATAAACAAAATGACTTTTGCTATTCTCGGTTGAGATCATTTTACAGTTTACTTTAAAATTAATCTAACGGTTAATATTAACACCTTAAAATTAATTATAAAAAAATAGGACCCTAAATGTGTGTTTGGAGTGACTTTTTAAAAGTAATTTTAGAAATTATAAATAATAAATATTTTTAAAAAAATAGTGTTTGAAACCGCCCCACCACTATCTCTACCACCGCCAACACCGCTACCACCGTCGCTGTCACCGTCGCCACCACCATCATCATCATCATCATCACCACCACCATCATCACCATCAACGTCGCTATTACCGCCACTACCGCCACCGCCACCTTTCCCTCACCCTCACCACGCCGCCACCACCTCCATTGTCGTCGCCATCACCACCATCGTCGTCGCCGCTACCCATACCATCCCCACCACCGTCGCTGCCACCACCACCGCCACCATCCTCGGTGCCCTCACCGCCACCACGGTCATTGCCACCCGCCACAACCATCACCGTCTCCTACCAATACCACTACCGCCCCACCACCTCTCATCTCCTCTACAAAATCAATACTTAAATTCTTTTATTTCTTATCTATGTGTGTGATTTAATTTTAGATATTAATATAAATATGTTTATTATTTACCATTTTTTATTATATTGTGTCTTCAAACACAGATAATAACTAGTATTGTTATAAATTTGTATTTTGCGACGAAAATAAAACCTTCGTCATAAATTTCGAAAAAAAATTTGTGACATAAATAATAAAACATAGCAATTTAATATTTTTATTTTATTTTAACTTTAAATGTGGTTGTAATTTATATTCTGCAACGAAAATAAAAACGTCGCAATTTAATTTTTGCAACAAAAAAATTTTGTCGTAAAAAATATTGTCATTTCCCGCCATCACTCGTGGCAAATAAGTGACAGAGAGAATGACAACTTTAAGATGAAAAAAAAATTCATGAATTAATAAAATGATTTTTTGTTGGATTGTATTCAGCAACAAAAAATTTAAACGTCGCAAATTATATATTTAAATTTATTTTTATATTAATCTTATATTATTTATTTGTCGGGGAATCACCTTTTATTTGAGAGAGAAAGACATTTCTCGCGCCAAAAAAAAAATTGGGAGGATACACTTTTTGCAGCGTTTTTAAAAACGTCGTCAAAAACAATTTAAAGTTTAATTTAAAATTTATAATAAGCAATTTTCGCCATTTCTCACGCCAAAAAAAATGGTGGAAGAATATGACCTTTTGGAAAAACGTCGCAAATTGACATTATTATTTCATTTAACTTTACTTAGGAAAATTTATATTCTGTGACACTTTTTAAAAACGTCACAAAAAAATTATAAATCTAATTTAAAATTAATAAATTCACATTTTGCGACGAATTTCAAAACAGGTCGCCAATTGACATTAATATTTCATTTAACTTTAATAAGAAAAATTTATCTTATGCGACGAAAAATTAAAACGTCGTAAATTATGTATTTTGATTTTATTTTTTATTTTTATTTTATATTCTTTATTTTGGCGGCGAATTAAAGCTTTCGGCGATAATAATTTTTTGTCGTAAAAAATCTTAATTTCCTATCATTTCTCGCGCTAAAAAAAATTCAAAAAGAATCACATTTTCACGACGTTTTTTTAGTTTTAAAAACGTCGCAAAAAAATTCCCAATAAATACATTTTGCGACAAAATTATTAAAACGCCAAGGATAGTATACTTTTTGCGACGAATTAAAATTCTTCGCGAAAAAATGGTCTCAAAAAATGATTTTTGTTGTAGTGTGGTAAGGACCTATCTCTAATTCCTAAAACCCCAACCCTTAGCTGATGGTTTCTCTTTCAATCGATATTCCTTCGGTTATTAAGGGTGAAATCAAGCTCATGATTTCCAACTGATATTCTTTTGGTTATTACCAGATTTCCAAGAGAAGGTCGGCGCTAGCGCCACAACACTGACATAGCTTTGAGGTAGTTTTCTTCCTTCCCCTCCCCTCCCTTTCTTTCTCTCATCCTCTCTGTGCACAAACCACCCCCAAAGCCTCTGTATTTCACCCACGCACACCATTTTCTCATTCTCTTACGTACTTCTCTCCTCCCTCTCTGTAGCTTCCCTCTCTATTCTTCGACTGTCTCTCCGAAATCCCTAACAGCACACTCAGAAACTCATTACTTCTATGTCAACACACCCACACCCTCACAGCACAAACACCCACCAAAACCACATCCATCATCATCACCACCACATCCCCTTCCTCCTCTGCCTCCACCCTTTCATATCATCACCACCCACCACATGTTTGATGGTTTGCTTCAAAGAAAATACATTATCAAATCCCAAGTGTTTGATGGTTTTTATCTACTAATTTCCGTGTTCAATCTCATTCTGGGTCATCTCATTTTCTAATTATAGGTAAGCGCTATAGTGATTTTAGTTTTTACACATGCAATATTCTTAAAGATAATTAACCTACATATCTACGACATTTTTTTTTCATACATATGTTTAGATTATGAATGGAATGAGGAGGTTTAAAGGTGGTTGTTTTAATATGCTTATTTGTTGTTTCAGTTGGTAAATGTCATAATTTATTAATGCAATTTCTAGAAATTTGTTGTTTTGAGTCTATTGGGATAAATTAGTTGTTGTAGTTGTTTTAATTGTTGGAAAGCCCTAATTTTTTATCCTAAAAGTGTTGTAGTTTCCCTTCTTTTTTTTTGGTAATGTCAGTGGACTATTTTTTGTAAATACGAAAACTATGGGTTTATGTAGACTTGATTCTTGCTTAGAGCATTTGAGCTTCCCATTTTTTAAATTGTGCTTCTGCTATAATTGCCAAATATATTACATATTTGAAGCTTCATTTCTCACATTAATGGTTCCTTTTGCTATTCTAATCTTAGGTTTGGGTTTTCCAAGTTATAGTTCAATTTCTCACTTTGAAGGTTTTGCCTTTTCATGTAATTTTTGATGATTGAGTTTTTGATTACTAATTGATTGGCAGAATGGTTTCTGGTTTGAATCAATCATTAAGCATGAGTTTGGGGGAAACGATGACAATGGCCTGTTTGCAAAATGGGTAAGAAGCATGCATTTGATGGAACATGTTATTCAATTGCAGTAGTTGGGATACCTCTTAAATTTTAAGGTCCTTTCTAATTTTTGAATGCTAACAATGTGATGAGGCTATAAATTTGAGAGATTAACTCTTAGATTGGCGAACACAAAACATAGGAGAAGATAAGACAAGAGATTTCAAAGAACAATTTTCAGATACAACTAATATTTATAGATGATCTAATCTTCTACTGTTACTAACCAAGTTAGTCATGTGTAGTTAGTCACAACAAATCAAGTACATCTATGTGTTTGTAATATTTTTTTAGTAAGGAGGGTATATTTGATTTGGATTTATTTGACTTGAATATTTGTTCAACTGCTCTATTGAAGGTGGGTTTGGGTATGTGTATGGTAGACTCATGGATATTTGATGTCATACTTTTGTTGTAAAGCTCCTTGGTGGCCATGAAAGTAAATTTTTTATCTCTTCTAATTTTCTCTCAGTATTTTTCATTTTCATCATGCAAACCAAATCTATTTACCCTCTCCTCCAACGAGAGTTGTCTTAGATAGATATGTATTGTCTTGAGTTCTAGTATTTTTTACGCCCACATTTAAAATCATAAATGTGAATCATAAGCTATTTTACCTATAAGTTATTTGATAAAACCTCACTTGGTAAGTTGTCCCTCTCAAATCTACCTGCTAGCTATTTGATAAAATGCCTTTGAGATTTTCAGTATGATTATTTGATCTAATTCATTATTATTTTTCCACAAACACAATTATGGGAGTTGAATACTAAGTCTTGCATTTTCTCTATAGATATTTAGACCATGAAGATAACTTAGAACATATTTGGTTGTGCTCTTTTAGAGGAGTGATGTTGATAATGGTAATGGATCTCACAATAATTAAACTAGACATTTATGAGCTCATAACTGAGTTTGCTCAATTTCCAATCCAAAATAAATAGTAATCTTGGTATTTGTTTGGTTAATCAAAATATTTAAACTAGACATTTTTTGACTATTTTTATTGGTTGATATAGTGGTAATGATCTTATGCAAGGTTTTTTATGCTGCAATAGGTGTTAAGAATGATGGGTTAGTGTCAGACTTTGTAAGATTGAAAATCTTTGTTGGCAATGTAGTTTTGCCTCCTCCAAGTTCTTGCATTTTTTAGTAGTTATCTGTATGCATATGTCGATGCTTTTATTTATTTTCATTCTCGAATATGTATTTGATATTTATGCAATTAATGTTGTCTTAGCATGGTGGATTATTGGTTGGGTTTTCTTTATTTAGTTATTTTTTGATGCAGATGTTGAGTTGGTTATTTCAATTTGGTGTTGCTTTTGAACCTGAACCGGATTTGGAACTCATACTTGACCGATGCTTGAATTTGTCTTATCATCATTAGGTGACCATGGTTTTAATGTTAGTTAAATGTTTGGTGTCTTGAATGGACTGGCACGACATCAATATCGTTGATGG